AAAAAAAAACGAACACTGGAACCTAACTCTGATTGGTTGATTTTTTCTCCCCGCAGAAGAATAAGTTGGTCCTGCGGCAGCAAGTTTTATTGCTAATGTGCAGGTTAGTGTCAACCAAGTCAAGACAGAAACGATACGAAACCGCCTTATGATCAAACACTCCTAAACGTTTCCCTGAGTTACTACTGTAAGCGAAGGTTAGATATCTTGAGATAATAGTAGTCGGCGGGAGCAGAGCTGTACCAGCGCGAAGGAGGACAAGTTTTTGTGCATGAATCTCTGGATGATTTGAAAATAATAATCAGTATATACTTTCGAGCTCAATTACTCTTTTCTTTTTTGTTGCAGAGGTATTGATCTATATTTGGAATACGATGTTAAAAATTTGAATTACCTTTTGATTTTACTTTATTAAAGACATTATATTTAAATATTTAGTATTTAATATATTTATTATTAAAATACAATTACTTGCAATTTAGTTTTGAATTTTAGATTAAAAAACAATAATATTTTTAACAATGTGTTGCTGGATGAATATTCAACATAAGAATACTGTCTACTTGTTTTTGATCGATTTGCACTCTATTTTGTACTGTTATTTTATACAATATAATTTTTAATCTATGCATAAATATTATTGATTAACTTCAAATTTATACATCACTTATTTAAAAAAGATTACATGTAATTCCTTGAAAAGTTATAAAAAAATTATTTGAAATAAATAAATAAGCTTTGTAATATTAAGATAAGAGTAGTTGAGCAACGAAGGTGGAATGGTAAAAGAGCTTGGGGGATTTTTGAAATGAACGAGACATGGTGTATGTAAGGGGGAGGGATATCAATAGAAGGCCTATGGTCCTTTGTGTTACAGCAAATGGCTAGTCAACGGAATCAGGTGCAGAGACAGCAGGCTCTCGCCCTCATGTGCAGGTTTGTTTGTTCTTTGTCTTAGCCCTCCAAATTTCGTCCTCGATACTCGCCGTTTTAAGTAGAAGATACTTTTTCAACCTTAATTCTGTATACGATAAAAACTTTTATTCATCATTTACATTGGATCTTGCTAAATTTTTATTACTTAGAATAATTATATACACTTTCTTTTCGCTATTAAGAATCGAAATTAAATAATTGTAGTATAATGTCTATATTCCTTTCAGTTACTCTCCTAAATTGCTGTGTCAAGTTCTCGAATAAATTTTTATTTAGTAAAATTATATTATAATTATCTGTAATCAATGATATGTTTTTATACCATTTCGAATATTGTATATATTTAAAGCAAATGTTTCTCTTTTTATACATTCTTTTTGGAAAAAATTTGTCATGCTTTTTTTTTATTTCATTATGATAGGATAAAATTGTGAGTACATTAATGAAATAGGTATAATTAAACAGTAATATCTCGGATTAATATAACGAAAGGCGACTATCATCTAAAATAAAATTCCTATATGACAGGGTATATGTGGGCAGCATCAGTTTTGAATTAAAAGAGGATACGATTAGGCAAGCTTTCTTGCCTTTTGGTCCTATAAAATCAATCAACATGTCTTGGGATCCAGTCACACAGAAGCACAAAGGATTTGCATTCGTCGAATACGAGATACCTGAAGCAGCACAACTTGCTTTGGAGCAAATGAATGGTGTCATGATTGGTGGACGTAACATCAAGGTAGCGGGACGTACCTATATAACGAATTTCCTGTCCCCCAGCAATCCTATCATCCCGCCGGAGGTCGGCAAATTTTTATTTAGCCTTATCCAATTTGAAATTCCTTTTGATTGAATTGCATTATATTTATAAAATGCACTTCGGTCAAAAAAATTTTGTTAAATTCTTTAACAATTTCGTTAATTTTTTTTATTGTAGATCTAAAAATTTCTTATAATAATACTATTATATTATAATTTTATAATAGTACCATTTTTATTGATATTTTAGTGAATTCTATTCTTATTACTCTTATTTACTCAAAACAAATATTTATTCTAGAAAAAAAAATTTATTCGTATGAGGATTGATATTTTGAGATTAGCAAATGTATTATTATTGCACTAAAGTTGTGTTCAAATAAAAAATGAGAGTTCCTGAACCTAATCCATTGTTTATCTATATTTTTGTTTGTAATTAAAATATTAATACTTGACAGATTCGTTACAAATATTTTTCTTTTCTTACAAATAGTTTTTAATAATCGAAAATATTAATCATGAACTTTTATTTTTCTTCAGGTTGTGGGGCGTCCGTCGAATATGCCTCAAGCTCAATCTGTTATAGATGAAATTACCGAAGAGAGTAAACACTATAATCGGATTTACATTGCGTCGATCCATCAAGATTTAACTGAAGATGATATTAAATCCGTATTTGAGGCATTTGGACCGATTACATATTGTAAATTGGCACAAGGCAGCTCACCCCACCGACATAAAGGTTACGGTTTTATCGAATACGAAACAATGCAAGCTGCGTTAGAGGCTATTGCATCAATGAATTTATTTGACTTGGGCGGACAATACTTACGAGTGGGTAGAGCCATTACACCACCAAATGCTCTCATGGGTCCGCCAAGTGGAACTAGTATGATGCCCACTGCTGCTGCGGTTGCAGCTGCAGCTGCAACTGCAAAAATCCAAGCAATGGATGCTGTAGCTAGTAATGCAGTTGCTCTTGGTCTGACCAAACTCGGAGCAGCTGCTCCACCAATTTTGAATCAAGGTATGATTTAAAAGTTATTGTTGGAATTTTTGAATTGTAAATTTTCTTTAAGATAATTGTGAATGACTTTAATATACATAGCTTTACCAGGCATAGTAAGACCCACCATTGCTCCTGCAACAATGATGGCACCACCGACTATAGCAACCGTAGCACCTGTTATACCTCCGCCTGGTATCGCTATACCACAAACTTTGACTCGACCTCCTGCGATAATTCAGCCGATACCTGGGCAGCCAGTTGTTATACCTCCTCCAGCTGTTGTAGCACCTACAATAGTAGGAACTCCAGTCGTAAGTTCATTTTTTTTTTTTATTTATTTATATTCACACTTTAAATAATCAAATAGTTCAGTCAGTTAAATAATGAAATTATTTGAAATGTTGCTAGATACCTGTCACAACTACGACAAATTCTGATATTATGAGACGAGCTCAGGAACAAGCGGCTCATCAAAAACAGCAGGAAGAATTACAGAAAAAATTGTTAGAGGAGACAGAACCGCAAACATTGCAGCAACAAGAAAATATGTCGATTAAAGGACAAAGTGCGCGTCATCTTGTTATGCAAAAACTTATGCGCAAAGTTGAATCTCGAGTTGTTATTTTACGAAATATGGTAGCTCCGGAAGATGTAGATGAAAGTTTACAAGAAGAAATTCAAGACGAATGTTCTAAATTTGGAGTTGTAGAAAGAGTTATTATATATAATGAACGACAATCTGAAGATGACGAAGACGCTGAAGTTATCGTAAAAATTTTTGTTGAGTTTTCTCAAATGAGTGGTAAGTTTATAATGGCAGACGTTTAATGTTAATTTTTGATATTAATATTAAATTATCATTTTAGAGGCGGAACGTGCTAGGGATTCTTTGAATGGTCGTTATTTCGGTGGACGATTAGTGAAAGGAGAATTATATGATCAAGCTTTATTTGATAATAGTGACTTTTCTGGTTGATTATAAATTACTAATAATCTGTTGAATTCCGTCAGTTACTTTTGAACAAAAGAATTTATACTTAACGTTGAGTGATGTTCCATGTGTCTACACCGGAAATGCTATGTCTTATCAAACTTCGATAATTATAATCTATCTTCTGATTAAGAAGTTTAGCTATTTTTAATTTTTGTTTACATCATTTTTTCTAGACTTAAAATTAGATCAATCAAAACTACTATCAATATCTAGTAGAATTATATTTTAAAAGGTTATTTCAAAATATAAATTGGAAGTTATTGGATAGTCTTGCTCAATGAATCACTATTAAATCAACACTTCTGTATAAAACATTTTATTTAAATTCAGTAGCAATATTGTTATTTTTGTTCAGAGAAATTTAATCGGCAACTTGCAGAATATAAGTGTGCAGAAAAGATATAGGATATTAATGAATTGTTTTATTCATAGACTATATACAAATAATATACATATAAATATATGTCATAATACAAGTGTATGTTATAATAAAGTTTGTACATATTTACTAGATATGTCATTAATTTTAACATACTGAAAGCATATATGTAATTAAATAAAATTAAGACATTTTATTTACATTTATTTTGCTTTTGTATCATCTTTTTTGTTATATTTTACCTCATAGTCTTGATTTATATAATCATCATAAGTTGGAAATGGTTTATGTTCTCCCTTGCTAGTTAATTTTACATCTTTTGTTTTATTATTTGAATATTTTGCTTCTATTTCCGCAGCATTTTGTTTTTTAAGCATTTGTAATTTGTAATTTTTCTCTATTTCTTCTTTCGTTGGCGGATCTTTTCTACGAAACCTTAACCATGCCTGCCATTCTACAGGTACTTCTTGTGCATGATCCTCTTCATTTACAGGTACAAAATATCTAGATGGATGTTTTTTCATGGAATTTGGTCTTTCAATTTCGTAATACTTTGTACCAAAATAATCTTCGCCAATTAGCTTATGTCGGCTTGGTTTAAATGTTGCAATAAAATTTTTTAAAAACATTTTCAACAAACTTCGTTCTTTTCCAGACATTTCAACTTTACATATAAAAATTCAATCATAATAATTAAGAAGTAACTGAATTAAATACTTATATTCTGAATTTTTATTAGTATCCTTACCTAAATAATTACAAATAAAGCTTATTTAGCTTTGATTAAATAGTAGGTAATTAAAAACGTATATTAATTACTTATACCATATAAAATTTGATACACAAAAATTTTTTTTTAGTATGAAGAATTAAATATAAACAGAGGATATTTCCCACACGTGTTCAAATATACATGCAGATAAATACAAATAAGTATTTAATTAAATAATGAAAATAGGTTATACCGATTACTGCACACAATGCATGTACATAGTAGGAACAGTGAAAACTGATATTTTTGCGAGTTACGTTGGTAATCTTGAATCTGAAAATTTACATATTGTATTTGAGTTATTTATTATATAATCTAATAGCAATTCCGAAAGAAAGATTTCTTTTTAGATAATAATAGTATTTAAAATTATTAAATTTATTCATTTTATATTATGTACACAATAATATTTATAAAATAAATTATTAAAACAGAAAAGTAATGTTTTATTTAAATATTAATGAAATTATACGTTAACAGATAAGTTTTTATTTATATGAAAAAATATGTACCGAATGTACTTAATTTTTTTATAGTTTGGCGAATTTCGTAAATAGAAAATTGTCTTTGAATATTGAAAGTATAACTAATAATTACCATTTATAAAAAGAATCACACATAAACGATTTTACGTTTTCTGCTGTTGTAAAACAAGTTTGTTTCACAACATTTAATAAGATTATGTATTCAGAAGGCTTCCGCAACTGCAGACGACGCGTCGTAAAATCAATTCCATAATTAAATATAACGAGTGCTTAATTTTCACGTGTGCAAAACGATCTGGTATGCGAGACTATCGATCTAAAAGTTTCATTATTGTAAAAAAAAACTAAATGTCTGTACTAGAATTTTAAAATATACATGTAAAGATAAACTTTTTGTGCTTACAGACAAATCGCAAATTTTATCGTTATTAACTCGATAGGAGTTAGCTGGAGTTGACTTTGGGAAACGTACACAGGCAGACAGACAGGCACATACACACACATATGCATTGCTATCATTTGAGATTTTTGCAAAGTAGATTGCACAGTTGGACAAAAATGTGTTTAAGATGCATTCGTAAGTTAGAGGACCTCTTACAGAATACGGGCACACTTGCCGATTGATTACGTCACTTCCAGGCGTGGTACAGTAGAATGTGTGATGTGTGTGTGTTACTGAAAATGGCCGTGTACGTGCAGGTCTGTCTAGTTTACTGATTTCACGCACGATAGTTTTCACATTCTTTCGAAAATTCGGATTTTGAACAGCGGATTTATTTGATGATACGTGCAGTTAGTGAGAACGTGGAATCTAAAGATTTTGGTGGATTATCGATGATACATGTAAGTCGAGACGAAGTGTGCCTGTTTCGTGAACGGTAGATCACGAAAAGAGAAGGTGAGCAGAGGATATGCTTACAGATTTTTTTTCAAAAATCGTACTTATTAGAAAGAAAAATTGAACAGATTCTTTGTCTCACTGTCATTTTAACGATGCATTTGTATCGCTGCTTCGCACGACTAATTATTTCCTTTTTTTTACGACTTTTTAAACCTTCAATTAAGAGAAATACGTCGGCTTTGCTAAGTTGCAAACAGCATAAACGACGAAAAATTTTGTTCTTGCATTCGAAATATGTAATTACGTTGCTTTTTGTTCTAATTCTCGTTTCAAATATTCGAGTGATTTTAATTTGACTCTATTATTTAACAAATTCTATTTCTGATGTATTTTCAAGTACGTACAAGACGGAGAAAGTGTATTTACAAAACGATGGCGGACAGATATAGCCGTAGATTACTTGTCAAAATTGTGTCAATCTTGTGACCGTCAATTTTGACATTTTCAATACCTTTTTAAGCTCATAGCCTTTTTAAGCCTTTCTTTGCTTCTACAATTTTGAAGAATTTTTTTATTCCCTTTCATTTGTTGATTAATCAATCTTACACTCTTTATTGAATAAATGAATAAAATTCGCTGTATATCTTAAACCTTTCATAGATAAGTAAACAGATATATAAAGTATAACTTAAGGTAATTTATCAGTGAAACAACAATCTATATCAATCAGATAATATAAGGTTTCAAAATAAAAATAATCAATTATTGAAGCTGTAATAAATGTTAACATTTAGAAATATTCCTTTTATTGTACTTGTCTTTTCGATGTCTAATGATTTTATGTCTGTACTCTTTATGTTTATC